GTAATATTTCTATTTCTTTGAAGTTTCTAACTTTATAATAAAACAAATGACTTATATTTACTCTAATAATTGGTGGGACAGTTGATGACTTTTGAAGACTGACAAGTGTTGATATTCCACTATGACGACCTCTACAAAATAAAGAATTTAACAATTTGTTACTTCTTGTTATTGCTGGATTATCAGATACATCATCCAATATAACTAATATGTTAAATAACTTATTCATTCCTTGTTTTTTCTGGTATTCAATTATTTTATTTTGAGTTTCTATAACTCTTTCTAAATTTTCAACATTGAACTCATCCCACCAACACGGTTCTTTATCAGTATCTACTTTCAAACCTTCTTTAATGTACTTTTTAACAGGCAACCAAATACTATCCAAATTTACTGATGGGGACCAGATAAAAACTCTTTCAAATGCACCTCTATAAATATCAAGTATCATTGATACAAGTAAAGTTGATTTTCCAGAACCTGACGGTCCTACAATCATCGCCCTCATCGGTAATTTAGGGACGACATCGTGCTTACTTTGCTTAAAGTCATATTTGATTTCATCAATTGGTTTTACATCAGGCATAATAAAATAATATTATAAATACTTATAAAAAATAATTATATTTATTATTGAATGGAACATCATTATGTTATGTGTGGTGGTGAATAACATAATGGAACAGGCTTTCCATTGCTTCAATCAATAAGCATTGAAGATAATTAGTTTGAATTAGCTTGAACCTCGCTTGTGTTGTCCAGTCCAAAGAAAACCCCATTGCCGAGCCCCGAATATTCTAATAATCATTATTTCATCTTATTATTTTATATGGATAGGACTTATTCATATTATATTGATATAATAGATGAAGTAGAGAAAATAGAACAAGTTGTAATAACTGACAATAAAATTAAAAAATGTTGTTATTATACAATGGAATTAATTAAGCTAGGAATTCAATAAATCAAAAATAAAAATATAAATGTTAATATAAATGGGAAAAAAGAAAAAGAGTAAAAGCAAAGAAAGACCAATGCCAGAGGTTCAAGAAAGAATTATAACAACAGAAAGTGTTAAATCAGTGGGTGAAAGTAAATCTATAAAGTGTGATAAATGCAATCACGTTATGAATTTTAAGAATGAATTGACAGTAGATAAAAAAAAGTGGCGTTAAAGTTAGTTGTATTCCTTGTATGTTTTCTTATAAAATATCAGATACAGATTTAAATATTGAGAAAAAAACAGGTGGCGATATGGTTGTTGAAACTAATGAACATTTGATTAATGTTAGTTTTAACAGGGACATAAGTTAGTATATAAAGAGTAGATTTAACACCGCGTTAAACGCATAAATAAATAAATAAATAAATATATATATATATATATATGTCAGATAGTGATAATGTGTCATTAAGTGAGTTGATAAAGAAGGTAAATATGTTGAATAAGAATATCAAGGCATTAACAGATTTAACAACAGCAATTGATGAAAAGTTTCAAGCCAACATAGCAGATAATGTTGATGAGAAGGAAAAGATTGATAAGATTTTTCAAAAGAAAGGCTTAGGCAGACCAGCTGGGAGTTTTGATGATAAAAGAAAGAAATACTGTGAAATGATTAACGACAATAAAATCAAGATGCCAAGACAAGAAACCATTGAATATTACAAGCTGGTTAAGGATATGAACGGCAAATATTCCTTAGATTAATTTCTAAATAATTCTAATAATATGTATTTATTAGAATTATTCTCAGGTAGTGGAAGTGTTGGAACGATTGCGAGGTCGCTAGGTTTTAATGTAATTTCGTTGGACTTGAAGAATGCTAACATCAATACTGATATGTTGAAATGGAATTACAAAGAGTTTGACAAAGGGCATTTCAATTTTATTTGGGCTTCTCCACCTTGCACGGAATACCGCACCGAAGGTGCGCTATATGCCACTGACGAAGTCAGTGGCGAATACAGCAGAGCGAAAACAACAGGAATAAGGAAATAGAACATGCAAATAGTATTGTTTTAAAAACCCTGGAAATAATAGATTACTTTAAACCTAAATACTGGGTGATTGAAAATCCACAGACAGGATTATTGAAGATGCAACCTTTTATGTGTGGATTGAAATATAATGATATTGACTATTGTAAATACGGTTCTAATTACAGGAAAAGAACCAGGTTGTGGAATAATCTTGACAATTGGACGCCTAGAAGTTTATGTAATAAAGATTGTGGTAAAGTGATTAACAATAAACATATTGAAACAGCACAGCGCTTACCCAGTGGTCGTAAGGAAACTTGGAGCGAGAATTATGTTAAACATAAACAGGAAGACCTTTATAAAGTTCCTAGTGAATTAATTTGTGAAATCTTGGTGAGGTTGATGGATTAAGCAATTTGAGTTTGAGTTGGTCAATGGCTGCTGTGAAGGTTAGTAGATGGTTTCCTTAGGGGTAGGAAATGGTTTCCTCGGGGGTAGGAAATGGTTTATTTGGGGTGGAGAAACCCTTTCTTCTTAGAGAAGAAACCCATTCTTCAAAGAGGCGAAACCCATTCTTCAAAGAGGAGAAACCCAGAGAAGAAACCCATTCTTCTTAGAGAAGAAACCCATTCTTCTTAGAGAAGAAACCCATTCTTCTTAGAGAAGAAACCCATTCTTCTTAGAGAAGAAACCCATTCTTCAAAGAGAAGAAACCCATTCTTCTTAGAGAAGAAACCCATTCTTCTTAGAGAAGAAACCCATTCTTCTTAGAGAAGAAACCCATTCTTCAAAGAGGAGAAACCCATTCTTCAAAGAGGAGAAACCCATTCTTCAAAGAGGAGAAATGCATTGGAAGGCAAGGTAGTGCCTGTTGCTATGTGCGGCAGTGCCTGTTGCAATGTGCGGCAGTGCCTGTTGCTATGTGCGGCAGTGCATGTTGTAATGTGCGGTGGTGTCTGCTTTGGAATGTTCTGTGTTCTGTTCCTTGTTTGGTTTTTTGTTATGTTTCTTTGTTGTTGGGGGTGTTTGGATAAGGGACCTTCAACCCACTTCGGTAAGCATTTTGTCTAAAAATTGTTTAAAGGGTAAATGGCTTATTATAGTAGAAGATTATGGATAAGAAACATTGCTCGGGTTGTCAAAGAGATAAGAATTACAATTTATTTTCAAATAATTGTAAAACTTGTGATAAATGCCGTGAAAAGCAAAGAAGGAAGTCAGAAATAAAGAAATTGAAAAGAGAAGCGATGAAGAAAGAAACAGTAGCAGATGAAGGGGAAAAACAATGTTGTTCTCATTGTCGAGTTCATAGAAAGATTGAATTATTTTCAGATAATCATAAAACTTGTGATAAGTGCCGAGACAAGCAAATAGTATATTCAAAAACATACCGAGACAACCATAAGGAAGAAATACGAGAAATAAACAAAGAATACGGACAGAGAGAATATCACTGTTCTGTATGCGATTGTGAGATTAAATTAAAGCACAAGGCACGGCACGAACGAGCAAGGAAGCACATAGAAAATTTAGAAAAGAATGAGGTTATATAAGGATGTATGAAATGGTTTAAGTTATTTTATAAAATGAATAACTTAAAACATTTTTATTATGAGGTTGGTTAGGCACGTGTTATGAAACTTATATGGGTTTTGATATTGGTCTGACTGATGGGCAGAGAAGTAGGTTGTAGGCTTCCCTCTTGCTGTAACAGGCCTAAAGCCTGTTCAAATGAGCGGCCTTCTTCCCATTCAGGCACCAAGCCTTGGGTCACCAAGCACAAGCATTCCCATCAACACGTGGTCCCTCCTACGACCCGGGTGCAAGTTCAGGAGTTGAACCCCCCCATGGGCACGGGTGCCAAGTCCTGCGGCGAGGCCGACAGCAGTCCTGCGAGCTGCGACTGCTCTCGAAGCGGGACGACATAATCCACCCCAGCTTCAGCACAAAACCTTGGGGGGGTTGCCTCACAACTGAGACCGACTTTCGGTCGACTTGACACATGCACCAACAGGAAAGCTTTGAACATGTTCCCCCTGCCCAAGTTCATTGCCAAGAACAACCCTCTTTTGAGTGACAAAACAGTCACAAGCACAGGCCACAGAAAGGACGATTGCGAGAGCTGGAGAACCCATCAAAGCTCTCAACCAAAAAATGTGCAAATCAAATCACTCAGTGCTTGGGCGAGTCCAAGAACCACAAGGAGAAACCAATTGGCCCCCAAGGACACCCATCAACACTTCCACAAGCTGGAATTCTACCATGTAGACCTACATATGTGTGTCTTCCTTTTGCAGGAGACCCACCAAAATGGTGGTTTTCATGGGTTTTCCCTTTTCCCCTTTTACTAAACAAAAAAAGGACGGGTGTTTTCACCCAAGAAAAGAAAAACACGGGCGAGCTCGGCTTGGCTCGGAGCTCCTGCCCTGCTGGACTCGGCAAGGGCCTTCAGCAGCGGCTCGTGGCGCACCGCCAGCCTGAGGCGCATCCGCACGTTTTTGGGTCAACGAGAGTTGGCCTCAAGCTCGGCTGGTTGAGCCCAATTCATTTTCCATAATCCCTAGAGGGAAGATCCTTACGAAAAGCTCGTCCAAATGGAATTTGCCATAATCCCCAGCGGGAAGATCCGTACAAAACCCCATGGAAGGATCTTGCGGATTGCTCTTCTCTGTTGTTGTTTTCCTTTTTTTCCCTCCGAAGGGCCCAAGGGAAAAGAACAGGGCTTCCTTGAAGCCAAAAAGCGGCTGGGCCAGTTTTCACGGGCCTGCCTGGAGGCATGCCAATTAGAACATCCCAAAGCTGGAATCCAACCATGGAGGAGCTCCCGTTGCAATGAACGCACAGATCACCGAGGAGTTGAATGACCCGAGGAAACAGAAAACACCATGAGATTAGCGGCGTCCTTTGGCTCTCCCCTGCAAGAAAACCACACACACAAACAAACAAACAAACAAACAAACTGAGATACTACTGATGCCATGGGCCCGAACTTTCCTGAAGCCTCGCCTCGCAGGCGCTCAGGCCGTGTTGGCCTCGCAGCCGTGGGGGCGGGGGGAGGGGGGGGGGGAACTTCCGCCAGGGGGGCGCGTGAATGGACGCGGACAGGAGGCCGTTCCTGCACCAGCCTGAAGGGAAACCCCAAGAGGTGGGGTAGATTGCACAGGAGTGGTCAGTCATTTTCAGCTGCTGGCTTTTGTTGGCTGTCCTCAAAACCTTCTGCCAACTTGCGCATTCGGGGAAAGAGGGGAAGTCACCACCCCTCCTTCCAACTTGCAAACATCCATGAAGCCACCTCGTGCTTCTGCACACCTGTCATGGCCCACACCCCACCATGCCCCAAGAGCGAGAACACTGAATCTCGGGTGGGCCAAGTTCCTCCCGTTTGACGTCCCACAATGGCTTGCTTTTGAACTCCCTTCATTTGAACCCTGTGAACCCCAAGATTGCCATACCATGCGACCCTACCAAGGCCAAAAAGAAAAGGAAAGAAAAGCAGTGCGGAGCCGTGCCTTCTCCTGAGGCTTGAAGACGCTCCAGGCCGCGCCCGGGCGCAGGCAGGTCTCCAAGCCTCGCTCCGCGTGAAGTGAGGGATCTATGCTCAAAGCCAGCCTACCCAGAAAGTCCCACACACAGCTGAGGAACATATGACTTCCCCATGTCAACCTTGGATGAGGTGCGTCCGACTTTCTGGGTCCGAGTTTCGTCCCATTGATCACTATGTCCATCCAGCTTTTGGAAGGGTGTTCCCTGAAAAGACATTGACCAAATAGCAGGCCCTCGACTTCCGCTGACTGCTTCCGGAAATAAAGGCCGGGGACCCCAAAAAATGGTCACCCCCACATACACCTGCGGAGCTTTGATGTTGGCCATACCTGTTGCCTGGACAAGTCCACCCGCCCTGTCCATGCTGGGATCGCGGCATTCTTCTATGATCACATCAGTCAAAGCACGGCTCACGTGCAGCCTCAGGTGATGGCCGCCCCACTGAATCGATCTCAAGTCACGTGACATCATCCGAAACCCTTGCATGGCGTTCGTCTCATCCAGGGCTCGGAGCATCTGGGCTTCACTTCGACTAAAACAATGTGTAAGCCGCACCGTGTGCGGCTATGCCATCTCGGAGCTCGGCAAAGTTCCGCGACACCGCACCAGGTTGGCAACACCCTGCGCCCCGCACGCCTGGCCGAACGTCACACCAACACTGTCTCTCAGTCCAGCTCCAACAGCGTGGCAGCCTGGAACCCAAAAATATGGACTTCCCCACAAAGCTCCAAAAGCGTGGCTTCCCTCCAATGGGTTTGGAGTAGGGAAGGGGAGCTCTGGAGCCGGAATCCAAACCCAAGGGTTGCTGATCTTCTTCCGGCGCGCGGGCTTCGGCCTTGATCTTGGCCGTGGCGGTGGCAGCAGCCGCATCCAGAAGCCTGTCGTGCGTGGCGAAGGAAGATCGGATGGCTGGCTCCAGCTGGACGAGTGCCATCCTTAAGCCTCCTGAGCCACCAAGAGATTCGTTGATCTGAAAGGTCTCCTTCTAAACACCACCCAAACAAGCTTCCAATGCCCGCTGCCAGACATCCCCAGCTCCCTCGTCGCCCTTGTCCCCCCCTTCTGGGGGCGCTGCGGCAGCTCCTGCAACTCGAGGATGGCCAACCACCATGCAGCGCTGCACAGGTCCTGCGAGTCCGCGGTTGCCGAGTCCAGCGCGCTGCAGGAGATTCCAAGCGCAAATCCAGGGCACACTTGCAACATGATCAGTCAAGTGGTGGTGACAACGAAAACCTTCCACAAACAGCAAATTGAGCAGCCCCAACATGTTCATGTTTGTGAAACCAGCATGGTGCTGAGAAACTGTAAGGAACCGGGAGTGTGGGTGAAAAAAGGTTGCTTGAAAAACAAGCAACTGTTCATGAGACTTATAATACAAGGCCATCATCCTTGCTGGCCATTTGTCTTTGTTGTCCGCCTATGGAGATTCATACCTGGCAGCTTGCTTAGAAACCAAAACCGGATCGGGGACATTGTTGAGTTTAGCACCGTTCATCCAGCCTGCGGCGTTAGGATGGCCATCTTGCACATCGCCTGCTGCGTGATGGCGGCCACCTCAGCCAGCTCGGCCCAGCCCCAGTGGTTGTGTCATGAAAGTCCCCAAAGTTGCCCTGGGGCCTATGGGAAATTACGGGAAACCGTGCATTTCCCCAACGGGGAAACTGTGGATTTCCCCAGCCACAAGACCTGAGCAAGAACGAAAAGCAGCTTCCTCCAAACAGCTTTGCCACGCCTCCGCCAAAGCCCACCCCCGCTTTGGGCCCTAGCAAGGGCGGGCTGGCGACTCTGAAGCCGCGCCAGCCACCGCAAGGTGTTCGACAGGTGCTGACCTCGAGCACCGGTCTGACACGTCGCGCCCATGACCCCACCCCGCCCCAATTGAAGGCACAGGGATTGATCAATTGGGGAAGCCAACGGTCAAGGTCCAAGACACCTCGCAAAATCCGAAACATGGGCTGCTGGAGCTGCTTTCATACAGGGCAGTGGTCTGCAGCATCTGGTTCAACAATGAGTTGCTCCCGCCTGACCCCTCAATCCGAAAATGGCATGTATTTCGCAGGTGCAGCACTACGATGTTGTTGCTGTCTCCTCTTGCTTTCGCTTCAATTCAGCAAGTTCACACCTGAAAAACCCTCCTGCGCCCACGGCCCAACTGTTCAAGGCCCCTGCTGATAAACTCGTGCACGATCTGCACACCCCGCTCAGCCAGCGCGTCCACCAAGCTGCTCCGTTGGTGCCGCAACTTGCCGCACCCCCGCGCGATGTTGGAAGCCTCCTGGGCTCCTGTCGGCAAGCTGCTCTGCACAGCTGGGCTGCCCGCTCGGTTTCCCCTGGCTTCTTGTTGTTGCTGTTGCTGTTGCTGTTGCTGTTGCTGTTGTTGATGTTGCTGTTCTTGTTGCTGTTCTTGTTGCTGTTCTTCTTGCTGTTCTTGTTGCTGTTCTTGTTGCTGTTCTTGTTGCTGTTCTTGTTGCTGTTCTTGTTGCTGTTCTTGTTGCTGTTCTTCTTGCTGTTCTTGTTGCTGTTCTTGTTGCTGTTCTTTGCTGTGTTGCTGTTCTTGTTGCTGTTCTTCTTGCTGTTCTTGTTGCTGTTCTTGTTGCTGTTCTTGTTGCTGTTCTTCTTGCTGTTCTTGTTGCTGTTCTTGTTGCTGTTCTTGTTGCTGTTCTTGTTGCTGTTCTTGTTGCTGTTTCTTGTTGCTGTTCTTCTTGCTGTTCTTGTTGCTGTTCTTGTTGCTGTTCTTGTTGCTGTTCTTCTTGTTGCTGTTCTTGTTGCTGTTCTTGTTGCTGTTCTTGTTGCTGTTCTTGTTGCTGTTCTTGTTGCTGTTCTTGTTGCTGTTCTTCTTGCTGTTCTTGTTGCTGTTCTTCTTGCTGTTCTTGTTGCTGTTCTTGTTGCTGTTCTTGTCGCTGTTCTTGTTGCTGTTATTCTTGCTGTTCTTGTTGCTGTTCCTCTTGCTGTTCTTCTTGCTGTTCTTGTTGCTGTTCTTGTTGCTGTTCTTCTTGCTGCTCTTGTTGCTGTTCTTGTTGCTGTTTTTGTTGCTGTTCTTGTTGCTGTTCTTGTTGCTGTTCTTGTTGCTGTTCTTGTTGCTGTTCTTGTTGCTGTTCTTCTTGCTGTTCTTGTTGCTGTTCTTCTTGCTGTTCTTGTTGCTGTTCTTGTTGCTGTTCTTGTCGCTGTTCTTGTTGCTGTTATTCTTGCTGTTCTTGTTGCTGTTCCTCTTGCTGTTCTTCTTGCTGTTCTTGTTGCTGTTCTTGTTGCTGTTCTTCTTGCTGCTCTTGTTGCTGTTCTTGTTGCTGTTTTTGTTGCTGTTCTTGTTGCTGTTCTTGTTGCTGTTCTTGTTGCTGTTCTTGTTGCTGTTCTTGTTGCTGTTCTTCTTGCTGTTCTTGTTGCTGTTCTTCTTGCTGTTCTTCTTGCTGTTCTTGTTGCTGTTCTTCTTGCTGTTCTTGTTGCTGTTCTTGTTGCTGTGCTGTTCTGTTCTTGTTGCTTGTTTCTGTTCTTGTTGCTTCTTGTTGCTGTTCTTCTGTGCTGTTCTTGTTGCTGCTCTTGTTGCTGTTCTTGTTGCTGTTCTTCTTGCTGTTCTTGTTGCTGTTCTTGTTGCTGTTCTTCTTGCTGTTCTTCTTGCTGTTCTTCTTGCTGTTCTTCTTGCTGTTCTTCTTGCTGTTCTTCTTGCTGTTCTTGTTGCTGTTGCTGTTGCTGTTGCTGTTGCTGTTGTTGATGTTGCTGTTCTTGTTGCTGTTCTTCTTGCTGTTATTCTTGCTGTTCTTGTTGCTGTTCTTCTTGCTGTTCTTGTTGCTGTTCTTCTTGCTGTTCTTCTTGCTGTTCTTCTTGCTGTTGCTGTTGCTGTTGCTGTTGCTGTTGCTGTTGTTGATGTTGCTGCTCTTGTTGCTGTTCTTCTTGCTGTTCTTCTTGCTGTTCTTGTTGCTGTTCTTCTTGCTGTTCTTGTTGCCGTTCTTCTTGCTGTTCTTGTTGCTGTTCTTCTTGCTGTTCTTCTTGCTGTTCTTGTTTCTGTTCTTGTTGCTGTTCTTCTTGCTGTTCTTCTTGCTGTTCTTGTTGCTGCTCTGTTCTTCTTGCTGTTCTTCTTGCTGTTCTTCTTGCTGTTCTTCTTGCTGTTCTTCTTGCTGTTCTTCTTGCTGTTCTTCTTGCTGTTCTTCTTGCTGTTCTTCTTGCTGTTCTTCTTGCTGTTCTTCTTGCTGTTCTTCTTGCTGTTCTTCTTGCTGTTCTTCTTGCTGTTCTTCTTGCTGTTCTTCTTGCTGTTTCTTCTTACTTCTTGCTGTTCTTCTTGCTGTTCTGCTTGCTGTTCTTCTTGCTGTTCTTCTTGCTGTTCTTCTTGCTGTTCTTCTTGCTGTTCTTGTTGCTGGTCTTGTTGCTGTTCTTCTTGCTGTTCTTCTTGCTGTTCTTCTTGCTGTTCTTCTTGCTGTTCTTCTTGCTGTTCTTCTTGCTGTTCTTCTTGCTGTTCTTCTTGCTGTTCTTCTTGCTGTTCTTC